TCATTATCATTATGCCTCCATGGGCATGTGGCCCAGGCGTGGAGCTGCGGCAGTCACACGACCAGAGATGCACCTGTCGGGCTGGTGACATAATAAAAGTAACTGCCCCAACTACGCGATGGAGGCGGAGGAGGGAGCCTGCTGTCCCCATCCTCCCCGCGGGTCAGGAAGCTGCTCCCCGCCCCCCAGCTGCTCCTGAAGCCCTGAAGTCACGAGGGGCAGGTGCGCACTTAACGAGCCCAGCAGGGGGGTGCGGGCTGCGGGCTGCGCCGCGGTCCCGCCGTCTGCAAAGTGCAGAAGTGACCGCGGCTAAGTCCAAATCTGGAGGGAAAGTACCCCCCCAGGTTAGAGGGATCACCTCCAGGAAACAGCGGTGGGGTGGTCTGGGGAGCCCGGGGGTCTGCAGCCCTGCGGGGCCCGCCCCCAGTCAGGAGTCCCGGCCCCTCGGCCCCTTCCTCGTCGCCCGTGCACCCACCGCCGTATGCAGGGACCTGCCTGCCCTCCTCACCTGAGCAGCTCGGTCCCCCCACCACCTGCCCCAGGCCCTCCTCAGCCTCTCCTTCCCCTGCCGGACAGGCGGGGCGCTCCCTGCGACCCCGGCAGTGCTTCCCAGTGCTTGAAACACACGCGTGCTGAGTTGCCACGGATAGCCGGGCTGGAGGGCTGTCGGGGCTGGGGCAGAGGCTGGGGGCCCCCACCCCGATCCGGCCAGGCACCTTGTCTGTGGCAATGGGAGGCCCTCACGGTGCCACGAGATGGCGCCACCACCCCATGCTTCCGACATGGGGGCCACCGCGGGCCTGCCCTCTGCCCTGGGGACCCAAGCTCAGGCCTGTCAGGTCCTGGGGCCCGGTCTGTCGCCCCCCACCCCGGATTCCGTCGGGCCCCCACATGCCGCCTCGTCCCCCAGCGCCCACAGGCTCTGCGAGGCAGAAGCGGTGCCAGGAGCCCAGGGGGTCCTGAGGCTGGTGTGACGGCGCGGACGCCGGTGAGAAGGCCCGCGCCCCCCACCCTGTGCACCAGATGCCAGCCTGGCCGAGGGTCCCTGCAGCCTCTGCCGAGGCCCCGAGCCCCAGACAGGAAGGGGTCGAGCCTAGGCCGCTGGCCCGAGAGCCGCCCCCCACCCCCAAGCTGGGGCGCAGACTCACAGGTGGGGCCCGGAGCTGCCAAGAAAAAGGCCAAACTCTGATCCCAGGGCCGGGGCGCGGGGGAGGGGGGGGCAGCCAGCAGCACTGCTAAGTGGTGGGCCACACAGGGGGGTGTGCCCCGAAGTCACCACGAGGGGCGCCCTCACACCGTGGCCAGGCTCCAGTGAGCACCCAGCTCTGCAGGCGACAATTGCCCCAGGCCCCCACCTGACCAAGTGGCCCCTCTGCCGAGTCCTTGGCAGGCCCCTTGCACTCCGGGGCCTCCTGGTGGGGATGAGGCTCAGCTCTCAACCCCGCGGCTGGGGTCCTGCTGCAGAAGCCATTGGGCCACGTGGAGGAAGGGAGAGGACGGAAGGCCCGGGCTCCGGGGGGCAGGGAGGGCGGGGTGCCCGGGCTCTCTAGCCCCCCTCATTCACCCTGCCGCCGCTGGAAGGACACACCCATGCCCAGGTGCCCAGGAGACCTGCGAAGGCTCATCCCCCAGGAACAGCTCCTGCAGCAGCGGCAGGTCCTGGGGGGCCAGGCGCCCTACTACATGCACGGCTCAGGCCTGGGACACTGCAGCCCCCTCCAGGCCAGGGCCTAGGTCTGTGGGACTCCGAATTCTGTGAGGGAAGGTGCAAGTCGGCTCAGAGCATCTCCCCTAATGGGCATGTCTGCCCCAATCCTGCCTCTCACCACCACCTCTGACAGGGCCTGGAGCAGTGGGGCAGGACCCAGGCTGCTGGGGATTGTCCAGGGCATAGCATGGCTGCTCTGGGTGCCCCGTGGCACGCAGCAGGCTCTGGATGTGCTGCTCTAGGTGCTGGGGTGTGGTGTCGGGGGGCAGTCCTTGGGCAGCAGGCATGCAGGGGTGCACGGCAGGGTGGACCTGAGGCTCCGTCAGCACCGCAGAGCATGTGCTCCCCGGCCAGGACTCTCCCTGCACCTGCAGGCAGGGGTGGAGTGGGTTGCCAGGGCGGCAGCCAGCAAAGGGCCCTCGGGCTGCCCCTTCCAGCAGCACCCCCAACCTGCAAGCTCCTGAACAGTGAGTGTGCTCCCACCCTCCCCCCGCCAGGTCTCCGGCTCGCCACAGCCATGGCCTTCCTCAAAGTAGAGCATGAGCAGGGATGTCAGTGGACAGCCCACTGAGTTCCACTGCTGCCCTGCCATGGCCACCCTGGGGCCCATACGGGGGGGGGGGTGCCCCAGTCCCACTCCATACCTTCCAGCCCTTGCCAGGCCCCTCATCATCATTCTTTGCTGCCCCCCCCCATCACGTTGTGTGTGTTGAGGGGACACGTCCAGAACCTACACATCTCGGGCCCTGAGTGGCCCAGCCCCTACCTTCAGCCAGGACTCCTGAGCCTGCTCTGCAGGCAGAAGGCCTGGGACAGGAAAACAAAAGGGATATTGTGGAGCATGTGGATCTGGGACAAGAGGACCTCCTGCTGCAAGCTTCCCTTCCTGCTGGCAGGCTCCTCCTGCAGAAGCTTCCAGCCCCACCCAGTTCCTGAGCCTGCCAAGAGCCCCTAGCTGACCTGACCCCTTGGCACAACCCACTAGCCCCAGCTCACAGGCCAGTAGGGTGTGGGGAGAGGCCCCTGGTGGTCCTCTACTCCCACTGGCCTCTCTCCGCGAACCTTGAAATGGCTCATCACCCTCCCTACTAAGTCCACCAAGGGCCTTGAGTCGCTGCCCCGCACTCAGGGACCTCAGGACTCTGTGTCACTTACCCCTAGAGCAGGAGCAGCGTGGGCCTCCAGGCCTGCTCCTGGGGAGGCTGGCTGTCCCGTCCTGCCAGCAATCTTCCCAAACTCGACTTCTCACCTTCCACACCTGGCAGGGGAGCTGGGCCCCCTGCTTCATGAGTGTTGAAGATGAGCAGCCCTGGACCTGCCCTGCACCCTCCCTGCAGAGCCTCCCTCCACTCTCCTTCTGGTGGCTTCTGGTAGGCGCACCTGCCAGGCCTCCCACCGGACCCCATCCATCATTGCCGTCATCATGGCTAAGTCAGCAGCCGCGGACACTTGCTGACATGTGTTGCTGCAGCAAATCTTCATCACAGAAGGGGACACGGAGGCACAGACAGGGCCCAAGGCAGTGCCAGGCCTCACCCAGGCCGTGACTTTGGGGTCCGCCTTGGCTCTTGCCACCGACAGCCCCTCCCTTTGCTCATCTGCTCCCAGCCTTTCACAGTTGCTGCCACTGCTGCTGTCTCCCGCGTGTCCCTTATCCCTCAGTGCACCCCGCTGCTCCTCCAGGCCACAGAGGGCCTGCCCAGCCTGCTTGTCGGGCTGCATGCTCCACACCCTCCCCTGAGCCTCCATCAGCTCTTCCCTGGATCACTGTTGTAACCTCTTGTCTTAATCTCCCTCTGCCACTCACCCCACCCCACTGCCCATCCTCAACAGTCAGGGCAGCGTGAGCCTTGTCAAGTGCAACAGCTGCTACAGCGTGGGCCCTGGGAAGGCCAGAGTCACTCACAGTGAGCCCCCAAGACCGGTGGGGGCCCTGCCAGGCTCTGCCCCCTGCTGCCCCCTGCACGCCCCCTGCTCAGTGTAACAGCCCACTCTCCTTACCGCATGCACTCCTACATAAGGACCTCTGACTCATATGGGTCCCATCCAAGGCCTCAACTTCATGGTGGTCATTTTTAATTATTTTTCTTGAAGCGAGCCCCTTAAATTGTATGAGCTTCTGGTCCTGCAAAACCTGAATCTGTCCCTGCCTGCTCCACATCTCTAGTCGCAGAGCGAGTTATCATATCAAACCCTGCTGGGTAGGGTCCCCTGCAGGCAGCAGTGGGCTGGGGCAGCTCATGTCATGACCAGATTGTTAAGTTTTCAGGCATTTTTGTGAACCAGGTAAACTGGTGGTAGCTTGGAGCCAGCTGTGATGGGTGTGTTTCCAACACTGACACGTGCAAAAAGTTAGAGATGAGGGCTTCCCTGGCGGGCTGCAAGTGTCAGGCGGTGATCCCGGTGATCACGCAGGCGGCCGCGCGGGCGGCACTATCCCCCTCTGCGGGGCTGGGGGAGGCCGCCCTGCAGGAACCGGGTAGCATAGGAAGGTCCCTGGCTGTGGGACCAGCGCGTCGTCAGGAGGACCACCCAGGCCCAGGGACGAAGCTGCTTGGCCTTAGTCCTGGCGGTGCATGGGGCCGAGAACGCCACCTTGACAGCCCGCCAGATGCGGTGAATCAGGGCCGATGAATGGTTGCTGGAGGATGGGCAGTTCAACCCTCAGGCCTCCCGATGAGGCACAGACTGGGATGAAGGGCGAGGGAAAGGGAAATTGGTGTTTTCCGCCCTCGGCAGCCTCAGCGTTTCCCCGGTTTAGGAATATACTTCCCGGCTCCCCGAACCGGGGTGGCGGGGCCAGGCCTCTGCTTCCGGGGGTCTTCCGCCCCCACGGCCCCAGCCTGCCCGTTGACGGACAGTGCGGAATGCAGGGCGCAGGCCCGGGACTCGGAGAGGAGCCAGCAAGGCGGCCCCAGTGGGTGGGACCCAACCGCGAGGACACCGGCCTTCGCCTTCGGCGTTCGCCTGCCTCGGCGGTAGATGCGGCCCGCCGGCGGCCCTGCTCCTCCGCCTGCCGGCCCCGCCCCCACTCCGGGACCGCCCCGGCCCCGCCCCCGCCGCAGGCCCCGCCCCGTCACAAGGCCCTGCTGCGTCTCCCCAGCCGCAGGCCCCGCCCCGGCCCCGCCCCAGGCCCCGCCCCGTCACAAGGCCCTGCTGCGTCTCCCCAGCCGCAGGCCCTGCCCCGGCCCCGCCCCGTCACAAGGCCCCGCAGCGTCTCCCCAGCCGCAGGCCCCGCCCCGGCCCCGCCCCGGCCCGCCCCAGGCCCCGCCCCGTCACAAGGCCCCGCAGCGTCTCCGGAGCCGCAGGCGCAGGCCCAGGCGAGCCGGCCGCCGAGCGGGTGCGGGTTCCGGTGCGGGTGTGGGTGCGGGCGCAGCGGCCATCAACCGCGCGGCTGCGCACCGGCCACCGTGCGCACCGTTCCGGAGACGCCCCGCGAGTGGTGAGTCCTTGGCGGAGCGCCGCGGCGTGACCACCCAACCGGCCCCCACCCGCCGCCCCCGCGCGGGCCCTGCGCAGCCGAGCGGTGTCCGGGTGGGTCAGCGGGAGGTCCCGCCGGGGCGCACAGCCAGCTCGGGGCCGGGCTCCGCGGCCGGGGGGCGGGGGCGGGGCGGGGGCGGCCGCGGCGGGACCCGCGCCCCGAGCGCCCCGGACCGGGCCCGGGGCCCACCCGCCTTCGGTGCGGTTCCGTGGCCGCCGCCCGCCGCCCGCCCCCGTCGCGGCGGCGCCTGCTTTGTTCCCCGCACGCCCTCAGGTCCTTCCATCCCCCACACACCCCCGCACCGCGGCTCGCAGGCGCCCCGCCGCCGCTCGGGCCCGCTGCCCCCACCTGGCGGGCGGCGCTCACAGATGGCCTGGGGATTTCCTGGGATGGAAATAGCCGCCGGCCGCGGCCCCTGAAAGCTGCTTACGGGCGGGCGGCGCAGGGAGGGTCGTGGCACAGCCCCACGCTCCCCGGCCCGCCTCGGCCCGCCCCGACCGGCCGAGCCCCCCCCCCGGGCCGCCAGCCGCGCGATGACCCTGCTCCGGGCGCTTGTGCCAAAGCCCCGGACCCCGAGGCCGCGAGGTCATCGCGTGGGGTGCGCTCTGCCGCCGCCGGGTGGCCCCAGAACGGACCCCCTGAAGCCCCGGGCCCGCGCCCGGCCTGCGGCTCGCGGCGGCCAGCGGCCTGGGGGCAGAAGTCCTGAGGGCCCCCCTTTGTCCCGGCAGCAGGTGGGGCGGGGCGCGGCGGCTGTTCCGGGGACTTGTCACTGCGGCCGACTTCTGTCTCTGTCCTCTAGGGGGAGACCGCGCAGCCCGAGGCCATGCCCCATGAGAAGAGTTTCCTGGTGTCTGGGGACAACTACCCTCCCCCCAACCCCGGATATCCTGGGGGGCCACAGCCCTCCATGCCCCCCTACCCTGGGGCCCCTTACCCGCAACCCCCTTTCCAGCCTTCTCCATATGGCCAGCCAGGGTATCCCCAGGGCGCCGGCTCCTACCCCCAAGGGGGCTACCCCCAGGGCCCCTACCCCCAGGGGCCCTACCCCCAAGGGGGCTACCCCCAGGGGCCGTATCCACAGAGCCCCTTTCCCCCCAACCCCTATGGACAACCCCAGGCCTTCCCGACGCAGGACCCTGGCTGTGAGTAGCGGGGCAGAGCAGGAGGGCGGGGAGGGGGGGGGCTCCAGGTGCCCTCGGGGGGCGCTGACCCAGTCCTGCTCCTCAGCACCTCAGCATGGAAACTATCATGAGGAGGGCCCCCCGTCCTACTACGACAACCAGGACTTTCCTGCCATCAACTGGGATGACAAGAGCATCCGCCAGGCCTTCATCCGGAAGGTGGGCACCGGCAGCTGGGGGTGGGGGGCGGGGGGGGCGGGCAGACTCTGAGTGGCTCCCCCCGCAGGTGTTCCTCGTGCTGACCCTGCAGCTGTCCGTGACGCTGTCCACTGTGGCCGTGTTCACCTTTGTCGGGGAGGTGAAGGGCTTCGTCCGGGAGAACGTGTGGACATACTACGTGTCCTACGCCGTCTTCTTCATCTCCCTCATCGTCCTCAGCTGCTGTGGAGACTTCCGGCGAAAACACCCCTGGAACCTCGTGGCACTGGTAACCCCAGCCCTGGGCCCCCCCACGTTCTCGCGTCCGGCTCCCACACTCTGCAGCTGCAGGAGGATGGGGGTGGGGAGCGGCTCCCTACCCACGAGGCCCCGTCTCCCCACAGTCCATCCTGACCATCAGCCTGTCCTACATGGTGGGTATGATCGCCAGCTTCTACAACACGGAGGCAGTCATCATGGCCGTGGGCATCACGACAACCGTCTGCTTCACGGTGGTCATCTTCTCCATGCAGGTGAGGGGCCCCCGCAGGCAGGGCTGCTGGCACTGAGGGCCCCAACCCCTCCCGGGCCCAGCACCCAGGGCCTGCTGTCCCCCTGTGCCCGCAGACCCGCTACGACTTCACATCGTGCATGGGTGTGCTCCTGGTGAGCATGGTGGTGCTGGTCATCTTCGCCATCCTCTGCATCTTCATCCGGAACCGCATCCTGGAGATCGTGTACGCCTCGCTGGGCGCCCTGCTCTTCACCTGCGTGAGTGAGGCGGCGGGCGGCCCGGGGGCAGGGGTGCTGGGCAGGCAGGCTTGCGCCTCACCGGCCTGTCCACCACCTCCAGTTCCTGGCAGTGGACACCCAGCTGCTGCTGGGCAACAAGCAGTTGTCTCTGAGCCCAGAGGAGTATGTGTTTGCTGCGCTGAACCTGTACACGGACATCATCAACATCTTTCTGTACATCCTCACCATCATCGGCCGCGCCAAGGAGTAGCTCACGCTGGGGGCCCCGCTCGGGTGGCCTGGCTGGCCTGGACCCTGCCCCTGGTGTGGCAGTGCCATCGTACCTGCCTGCTCTCATCCCTGGGCACAGCCTGGGACCGAGGGCCCCTCTCCAACCCTCCTGTGTGTACACTGCAGATACTTCTGTTCGGACCCGCCGTGGCCAACGTGGCCCCTTCTCGCCCTCCGGCCCCGCCAAAGGGCAGTGGGGCCCGGTTTCCGTGCCACCCCATGCCTACTCACTGTTGCATGAGCCCTGTCTGCCAGCCCACCCTAGGGTCTGGGGGCAATACCAGGTCCCAGGGGAGAGGGGCCGAGCCAAGAGGTGAGGGTGCACGTGTCCCCTCCCATTCCTGCCCCCCAGCCTGGCATAGAGTACCCAGTCCCCCCCCTCCCCTCCCCTCCCCTGCCCTGGAGTGCTGCCCTCATCCCTGTGCTGAGCCCTGAGGGCAGAGAGGATGAGCCTGTTTCGGGGGAGGAGGAGGCCTTCTTCTTGTCTTGTTGTCTAAAATTCCAATAAATGGGACTTTGTGCTCTCTGTGCTGTGCTCGCTCTCGTGGCCACTTTTTCCATGGGGTGGGGAGGGGGCTCTGGGCATCACCGGGGCAAAGGGAGCAGGTTGGCCTGCTGGGAGGGGGCTGAAGGACGGGGTTGGCACTTCCACTGCCCTCCCTGCCACTTCCCTGCCCCCCGGGACGTACGGCCCTAGGACACGGACCCTCAGCATGGTGCCCGCCTCACATGGTGCTAAATGGCCTGACCTCGTCTGCCACCGGCTCTGGAGCTGCACAGCGTGGTGGGGGCTCTCACGGACCCTTACCATCTTGCCCTCCGCTGGGGTCAGCATCTGTGCCTGACCTGCCCCGGAGCGGCCCATCACGCTGCTCACACTGCCTGGCTCTGCTTGCCCACCAGCGGGCACCTTCCCCGGGCGAAGGCCCTGCACATCCTCTGTGCTCCCCAGAGAAACCTGCGCCCCGCGCCTCTGGAGGGACACCGGGCAAAGGCTCTGAGCGCTCAAGTCGGCAGTGAGCCCCGTCGGACTGCCTCGAGCAGCTTGCCCCCGCCTCGCCTCAGCCCCTGCTGTCTCTGCGTGCCCTCCGCTCTTGCTGCCTCACCCACCCTGGCTCCGGGTGTGCATTCGGAGGTCAGCCGCCGTCCACGGCCTCACCCTCCCCAGAGGGGCCCAGCTCTGTCCGAGGACCACCCCGCCTGGGCTCAGCCTGCCTTCCCCTCTGGACCCTCCACCTAGTGTGGCTTGAGAGCCCGCTCCTGGGGCTCCTCGGCCCCCCTGCCCCCAGCCTGTTAGTCCAACCATGTCACAGGCCTGTGACCCCAGCGTCCGTGGAGGGACTCCCGCACCGCGTGCCAGCATCCCCGCATCCCTGCCGGGCCTGCCTGCGGCCGCGTCCCCCAACCAAGGACTCAGCCCGGCCACCGGGCCCTCCTGTGTCCCCTCCCTGCCCGCCTGGCCTGCCCGCCTGCCCCGAGGCCTCCTCACGCTCACCTGGCCACGGCCCTCGGGCCAACAACGCTTTCGTCCCTAGGCCATCGTGGAGTCCATCCTTGCTTTCAGGATGCAGAGACACAAAGTGTCATACTTGCGCACACTCCTTGCCCAGCCACACTGCCAGTGGCGGTGGAGGCCACACCGAGAGCCTGGCACGGGACCCCAGCTTCCTTACCACCCAGGCCGGCGCCCCGTCCGGGCCAGGCACAGCACAGGTGTCGACCGTGGAGTGAATGAACGAGCTCACGCGGCCTGGCTGCCCCAGGACCAGAGACCCAGCGTGCTTCAGACCTCAGGGCCTTGGCTCGGCATCAGCATTAGTGGGGAGTTGGCTCAGGAGCGTGGACAGCAACACTAAAAGCCCCAGAGAATTCATGGAGGCACATCCAGGGAAGCCAAGTGAAGAAAGAGAGGATGCACAGAGAGTCGTGAGTGCTCAGGGCCAGGTGTGGAGGACCGAGGATGGGAAGCTCAGGTGTGAGTCAAGGCAGGAGGTCAGCGTGGGCTTTGTGATGCTGCAGGGGGCAGGCGGGGAGAGCCTGGACTGGGGAGCAGCAGGAGAGTGAGCGGAGAGGCAGCGCCCACACTTTGTCCCCCCCGCAGCCCCCTCCCCACTGGGCCCAGACCCTGTCTCAGCAGCTCCCATCTCCAGAGCCAGGTGCCTCTTCTCCCCGGGGACCCACTGACCCACTTGGTGGCATCATCCCCGTCCCCCGCCATGGCACCTTCCAAGCCTTCGGGTGCTCGTGAGGCAAGGCCCCCTCGAGTCTGTGCCCCCTGCGCTCCTTCATCCCACCCTGCCCGCTGTCACCGTTGCCCAGCAGGCTCCTGGTCCCGGGAGGACTCCAGCACAGGTGCAGAGTCCTCTCCACCCCCGCTGCTGTCAGGACCCTGCGCCATCTCCACCCTTCCCCCGTGTCAAGGTCCCCACCGTCTCCGCAGCAGCCCCCAACCCATCCTCAGCACTGCAGACAGAGCGAGATGACCGCACCCTTGCTCACATACACGCTGTCAGAGGACGTCCAGTCCAGCAGTGGATGGGACTGACCCGGGGGTACCAACTCCCACTCTTTTTTTTTTTTTTTTAAGATTTTATTTATTTATTTATGAGAGATACAAAGAGAGAGAAGAGGAGAAGCAGGCTCCACGCAGGGAGCCCGACTCAGGACTCGATCCCGGGTCTCCAGGATCACGCCCTGGGCTGAAGGCGGCGCCAAACCACTGAGCCACCCAGGCTGCCCCCAACTCCCACTCTTAACACAGAACGTTGCTAGAGAAAATACTTTTATATTTTAAAATACACATAGCTGAGCAGGAATGCAAGAAATAAATGTGAGAAGAGCCCCCCTCGGCTGTAAGGGAAGAGTTATAGCCGTGGGATTTGGAGAAGTTGTGCTAAAAAAAAAATAAGAATCAGCATCCAGGACCCACCAGAGAAAGAGACTTGGCGAGACCCTGGGCTCTCGACTGGAAGCCTGGAGGACTGCCTCTGGGAGCCTTAAGGATAGAGACTCACCAGAACCACACCCCAGACTGGGTTCAGCTATGTCCTTAATGTTTGAAAGTACCCATCCCTGCTCTACCTGTCTGACAAGGAGATAACATCACCCAGAACCTCTACAGTTGTTTTTTATTTTTTTACACACAATTTCTGTCATTTAATTAAAAATTACTAGGCATTTCAAAAGACAAGACTAAAAACCAAGAGGAAAAATAAGATACAGAAACAGATCTGGAGGTGATTCAAAAATGGGAGCTGGCAAAAAGAAAAGGCTTTAAAATAAATATGATTAATATGGGGATCCCTGGGTGGCGCAGCGGTTTGGCGCCTGCCTTTGGCCCAGGGCGCGATCCTGGAGACCCGGGATCGAATCCCACGTCAGGCTCCCGGTGCATGGAGCCTGCTTCTCCCTCTGCCTGTGTCTCTGCCTCTCTCTCTCTCTCTGTATGACTATTGTAAATATATAAAAAAATTTAAAAATATATGATTAATATCTTAAGAAAAATGGGGGTTGGGGGGTAGAGACACAGGGAAGATAATATGGAGAATTTCCCCCCAGAGAACTGGATTCTATATTAAAGGATCAAACTGAGCATCTTGAATGGAAAAATACAAATAACTGAAACTAAAAAGTTCTGCCTGTGTCTCTGCCTCTCTCTCTCTCTCTCTCTCTGTGTGACTATCATAAATAAATAAAAATTTAAAAAAAAGTCATGTAACTGGGGCGCTTGGGTGGCTCAGTCAGTTAAGCATCTGACTTGTGATTTCAGCTCAGGTCATGATCTCATTGGTCATTGGATTAAGCCCCACGTCAGGTTCCATGCTTACCTGGGAGTCTGCTTGAAATTTTCTTCATCTACCCCTCTGCACCTCTCTAAAAAAAAAGTCATGTAACTATTTGGGCCATAAATCAAGGAAGGTAGGTGGCCTCCAAAACCAGGAAAGGGCAAGGAAACAAATTCTTCCTGAATCCTCTAAAAAGGAACACAGTTCTACCTACACTGGGTTTTTAACCCAGTGAGGCTTGTCAGACTTCTGACCTACAGAACTGTAAGATAGTAAATGTGTGTTGTATAAAGCCAAAAAATAAATAAATTGCTCATATTGCTGAAAAATTATGTGGCTACATACTGCTATGAACACAAAATTTTAAGATTTTATATATTTACAAAAAACTATATATTCATTTTTTTAAAGAGCATAAATTGCTTAGGGGTTATGTCTGAGGCTCCCTAAGACCACTCCCAAGTTTGATGATTTACTAGGAGGATTCATAGGACTTAACATATAGTCCTACTCGCTGCTATGATTTAGTACAGAGGAACAGTCTCATGGGGCAAAAGCTGAAGGAAATCAAGTGCAAGTGTTGAAGAGTCTCTTCCCTCTGGATTCACACAGGATGAATTTAATTCCTCGAGCAAGGAGCTGTGACCACATATGTGAAATGCTGTCTATCAAGGATGTTGTTAGAGACCCAGTGCCCCAGGTTTTCATATGGGCTGATCACATAGGCTTCCTCTGCCCATATTCTGTACCAAAATTCCAGGCTCTCAGAAGGAAATCAGAAGTTCAGCACAAGCCATGTTATTTGAACAAACAGCTTAGGCACAGTGAGCCATATCCATCCTGGGAGTTGTGGGAACCCTCCTAAAATCAAGTTTCTAGCTGAGAACCAAGGGCCAACCTTGCAGGCAGGCCTTTCTAAGGGTAATGGCCTCAGACCTTCTCCACACAGTGATACATTAATAAAATATGTGCAATGCATGTCCACTGAAAACTATAAAACCTTTCTGAGAGATATTTTTAAAGACCTAAAGAGAGAGGTATACCATGTCCATGGATCAAAAGACTTTATAGGGATCTCTGGGTGGCGCAGGGGTTTGGCGCCTGCCTTTGGCCCAGGGCACGATCCTGGAGATCCGGGATCGAATCCCACGTCAGGCTCCCGGTGCATGGAGCCTGCTTCTCCCTCTGCTTGTGTCTCTGCCTCTCTCGCTCTCTCGTTTTCTGTATGACTATCATGAATAAATAAATTTAAAAAATTAAAAAAAAAAAAGATATTGCCGGCTTCCTTTTTAAAAAAAAAAAAAAGACTTTATAGTGTCAAGATGTCAATTCTCTCTGAACCGGTTTAGGAATTCAGCACATTCCCAATCAAAATCCCAGCAGGCTTTATTATAGAAAATGACAAACATCTTAAAATGTATATGGAAATGCAAAAGATGTAGAAAAGTCAAAACAATTTTGAAAAAAAAAAAGAAACAAAGCTGGAGAACCCATACTCTGTGATTTCATGACTTACTGTAAAGTGACAATAATCATATGGAGGAACACATAGATCAGTGGGACAGAATAGGGGATTCAGAAATAGACCTCCACATATGCTTTTTAGACAAATGCTAATGGAACGATTCATACCACTATTAAAGGAAAAGAAAGAACCTCGACCCTTACCTCACATCACACACAAAACTTAACTTGAAGTGGATCCTAGACCTAAATGTAGAAGCTAAATTTATAGAAACGT